CCCCGCGCCCGCAGCCACCCACAACCGCTGGCAGACCCCCCAGCCCCAGCACGGCAGCCACAGGGCAGCCCCCAGCCGGGACCCAGGTGCCCATGGAGCAGGGGCCGCACCCCAAGCCGAAGGCATCGCGCTGCGTCCTGCTCTGAGCGCAGGGCCCCGGCCCCGGCCCCGGCCCCGGCCCCGGGGGCCGTGGCAGGGGCAGCCCAGCCCGTTGCTTGCTGTGTGTGTCCTGCCCAGGGCTCAGTAAAGGCAGCGCCGTGGCCCCGGTGTTGTGGTTGTGGAGTGGCGTGAGGTGCCCACGGCAGGGTCTGCAAGCCTGGCCGGGCTGGGCCAAGTGGGCTCTGCCTTGTGGCCGTGGGCAGCAGAATGTGGTCCTGCTGCCCTAGTGTAGACTACGCCGCGGCGCCTCCTGGGAACCTGCTAGCTCTGCCATGCCCTGCTGAGTGGCCTGGCCCCGATGTGGCGGGAGGGCCCTGCCTGCGGGGGGGACGGAGACTAGACCAGACCTCAGCCCCTACCCCAGGCAGAGAACTAGCAGCCCTCCCCGGCCGTGGCCCCTGCCCTGCTGCTGTGACCCATGTCTGGCAGCCGGGGGGGTGCGATGGGGGAGAAGTGGGTCTGGCAGGGGCAGAGCAGGGGGGGGCTTGCACCCCACTGCCATGTGCTTGGGGGCCCCGGAGCTCCCAGACTGGGCTTTCTCCCCTGCCGCAGGATAGGGGGGTCTGCAGGTTGGGGCTCCCTCCTGGTGGGTGGGGGGGCTGTGGCCATTGCTGGGGCCATCGCTGGCTCGCGCTCCTCTACTTTGGACTGTCTCCTCCTCCACACCGCAGCCCCCGCCTGCCCGTGCGCCTGCAGGTAACTCCTCCGCGCCGGCTGCCAGCCAGGCACCATCACCCCTGGGAGCCGAGACCCCTCCCAGCCCTGTGGGCTGGCCCCTGCCCTTCCCTTGTAGCAGCATCCTGGGGCAGTCTCGCCTTTAACCCCCTCCATGGGGACCCCACCTCTCGGGGGTCCTCTGGCAGGAGAGCCACTGGGGCCGCAGACCCCCCAGCTGAGGCTGGCAGCACGTTGCTGCAGTCGTGGCGCTGGGCTCTGAGCCCCTCCGAGCTATTCCCAGCCCCTACGAGAGACCCTCCCTCCCGCCCCGGCCCCATGGGCTTGTGGTGCCCAGGTGGCCTGCCGCCCGACCACGCCACACCATTCACGGTGTCGTCTCTCCCCAGGTGTGATCTGAGCTGACTGTGCCGCGGGCACCGGGTCCCAGGCGGGTGCCACGGAGGCCGTTCCAGTCACAACATCGCTTGGCCGTGCTGCACCCCTTTCCCAGCTGGGCGTGGGGGTGGGGGCTACACGCTTGCTGCTCAGCCGCGTCCAGCACCCGGGGGCGGATGTGGCTGTCCCGGCATGCGCGGTGCCCGTGGCTTGGTGCATGCTGTCCCCGTGCTGGCCTGTGTGTGTAGTGCGTAGCGAGGAAGGGGCGACTGCCGCAGGACGGGGGGACGGGGGCATCGCTCTGGGGAGGGTGGAGGGGCAGGGCGCTCGGTGCATGGCTGGTGGGGGCAGGGGCCTGCAGCCCCTCCTGCGTTGGATCCATCGCCCAGGGAAGGGGCCTCATCCCTGTCCTGGTGGAGAGGGCGCGGGTCCCGGTGCTGTCGTGGCCCCGGAGCCACCTGGGCCGCCGCGTGGGCGCCCGCCAAGCTAGTCGGGCAATAAACCTGTGTGCAGTAGCCCTGGTGTCAGCCGTGTCTGTGAGAGCCGGGCTGGCCTCGTGCCCCTTCTCCTGGGGCCTGCTCCGGGCTGAGCCCCAGACCGCTCCTCCTGAGCTCTTGCCTAGTTTCCCTGGTGGCAGCGAAGGCATTGCTCCTTGCCCCGTCCCCTGCGGCCACAGAGGGAAGCCCAGCTCCGTCCTCTCTGCAATCACTCCTCAGGGCTGCAAAGACCGATTCGGCCTCTCCAGGTTGTTCTGGACCCAGCCTGGGCCCCCCAGAGCCTGGGCCTGGCTTGGGGCTGCTTGTTTACAACGTGTCCGTTCGATCCCATTTTTCAGGGCAAAGTCAAGAAAAACAGGAGCCAGGACAGCCCCGTGGACCCCCTGGACACCCCTTCTGCACCCTTGTTGGTAGCATGCTGAGCCCGAGGGTGCACCCTTACACCTGTGTGTTGGGGCCTGTGGGCTCGACCTGCTAAGAGTCCAGCACAGGTTGTGTGCCCTGCAGACCTTGGGGGCTGTTGTACCCATTGCTCTCCCCACACCACTGAGCCACTCCCCTTGTATGGGGCAGTGAGGCTGGTCTAGCCGGGCAACGGCGTGGGTGGGTGCTGGGCATGGGCAGCACAACAGCAGCAGGGGACAAGGAGGGGGGTAGGTCTGGGTGTCAGCATCACAGTGCCGCCAGGCTGGCTGGGACCCCGGGGTCCCCGGCAGGCCCAGCCCCATCTTGACCCACCCCCAGACACGGCCTGGTCCTGACACCCCCGGAGCAGCCATGAGGCCGATTGCCCAGGGACACTGAGACCCCCAGGCCTGCAGCAACGGGGGGGGTGCTGGGGAGAGCCCAGGCCCACGCTGTGCCCTGCTGCAGAGGGAGGGGAAACCCCCCAGGCCGGGTCAGGATGATTTAATGGGTTTCATAGACATTAGGGCTGGAAGGGACCCCAAGGATCACCGAGTCCAGCCCCTTGCCCCGGGGGCAGGACGTCAGCTGGGGTCACAGGAGGTAACCCCTGTGCAGGGCTTGGACGTTTACCTTTCTTAAAGGAGTCCAGAGCCGGTGCTTGCACCACCTCCGGCGGCAGTCTCTTCCAGGCCTTGGGGGCTCGGACAGTAAAGAAGTTTATCCTTATGTCCAGCCTGAAACGGTCTTGGAAGAGTTTGTGACCGTTGAACTTTGTCTTCCCTTGGGGCGCTGTGGTGAACAGGCGCTCCCCCAGATCCTGGTGCTCACCCCTGAGCCTGCGCTTCCCCGGGCTGAAGAGCCCTGCAGCTCGCAGCCGCTCTTCACAAGGCCTCTCCTGCCCCCTGAGCGTGCGCGTGGCTCCTCCGCACTCGCCCAAGCTGCTCCGCGTCCGCGAGTGGTGGAGCCCAGAGCTGGGCGCCGTACTCCGGCTGCGGCCTCACCCAGGCTGAGCACAGCGGGAGGATGATGTCCCGGGTCTTGCTCTGGATGCATCAGTAGATACGAGCCAGAGTTTTGTTTGCTTTGCCAGCTGTGATATCGCATTGGTGGCTCCTATTCATCTTGTGGTCAGTCGTGACCCCCAAGTCTCTTCTGGTCGTGGTGCTAGCGAGTGTAGCATTGCCGAGTCTATAAGCGTGGTGCGGGGTTTTATTCCTGAGGTGCAGCACCTTGCATTTCTCCGTATTGAATGCCATCAGATTTTCATTTGCCTACCTTGCAAGCCTATTGAGGTCGGCCTGGATCACCAGCCTGTCCTCAAGTGTGGACACTGTTCCCCTAAGCTTGGTGTCATCGGTGAACTTGGCCCGTCTGCGTCTGACTCCAGTGTCCAGATCGTTTATGAAGACAGTGAAGAGTACAGGTCCAAGAGCGGAGCCCTGGGGGGCACCACCGGTCACCGAGTGCCACGTTGATTCGGTTCAACTACCGCTCTCTGGGTCGGAGTGCGGAGCCAGTTCCCCACCCGTTGGGCTGCAGAGTAGTCAAGGCTGCAGTTGCCCAATTTTTCCATGGGGACATCATGGGACACCAGGTCAAAGGCTTTTTTAAAGTCCAAATATATGACCTCAACCTCTTCCCTTTTGTCCAGGTGATGTCACCTGGGCATAGAAAGAAATGAGGTTGGTCAGGCAAGACCTACCGGCAACAAGCCGGAGCCGGCTGTCCCTCAGGGCGTCGCCTTCTCGTAGCCTGTCAAGAATGGTTTCTTGGATAATTTTCCCCAAAATCTTCCCAGGGATTGAGGGCAAACTGATCGGCCTGTAGTTTCCTAGGTCTTCTCTCCTTCCCTTCTTGAAGAGCAGGGGGCAAATCCCTGCCCCCCACAAGGCAGCATGACTGGGGGGCAAGAGCCTGTATCCAGGACCCTGCGGGGCTGCGTCCCAGGGGCAGGAGCACTGGCACAGCCCCAGCCTGGGCGGCAGCAGCACCCAGCACCTCGGGGGGGGCAGCCAGAGCACAGCCCCATCCTGGGGCACGCCCAGCAGAGCACGGGCATCTCTGCGCCTCGACCCTCCTGCCCAGCGCCTGTCTAGCCTTGTCTGGGACCCCAGCACGGCCCCCGGATGGGGCCTGGGCAGTGCGGAGCAGACACCCCGTTGCCTCCCACGTCGGGCCCCGATGCTGCCGTCGCTGGACCCCAGAGCAGCTCGGGCCTTGCACGCAGCCGCATCCCCCATCCCCGCGGCTGCATCCGGCCAGGGGCCCCAGTCCATCCGTGTGTCTCATCCATCCCCTGCCCACGTCTGCACTGAGTGCCGGCCCGGGGGCTCCAGCCCTGGTCACGGTGTCGGGATCCTCCTGGCCCCGTGGTCCCGGCCTTCCCGCTCCGTCACCTGCAGCCTGCACCGAGGCCTCCGTGGGCCCGCTGGAGCGCAGGCCTGGTGGGCTGCACCCCTCCCATCCTGGCACGGACCCCGCTAATACTTACCCTTTGCTTGCAGCCGTGGAGCTGGGCATCTGCATCAGCCCTTCCTCCTCCACAGGCTTGCACGGGGCCTCCCGCCGGACCTGCTGGGTACGGGGACGAAGGTGAGGTGGCCCGGGGCATCGTTCCCTGGGTCCTTGCCTTTCTCAGAGAGGGGCACTGCGCCGGCCCTTCTCCTGTCCTCTGGTCTCTGCAGATCGTTGCAAGGGGGCGGAGATCTCCTCTGCCTGCTCCTGCGGGCCCCAGGGCAAAGCCCACCCGGCCCGGCGGACCTGTGTTCACCTGGAGCCACCCCAAGCTCTGACCATTGCTTTCCTCATCTCAGACCTCAGCGTCCTTGTCCAACCCACAGGATCCGTCATCGGCCTTCAGGGATGTGGACTGTGGTGTCGACACCCACACAGTCAGATGTGTTGCCAACTGGCTGGAGGGCCGCACACAGAGGGTGGTAGTGGACGGGTCATGTTCGCCCTGGAGGGATGTGGGCAGTGGGGTCCCCCAGGGCTCGGTCCTCGGGCCTGCACTGTTCAACATCTTCATCAGCGACTTGGACGACGGGGTAAAAAGCACCTGTTCAAATTCACTGATGACACTAAGATGTGGGGGGACGTGGGCACGCTAGAAGGGAGGAATAGGCTGCAATCGGACCTAGACAGATTACAAGGGTGGGCGGACAAGAACAGGATGGGATTCAACACCGACAAATGCAAGGTGCTGCACCTGGGAAGGAAGAGCCAGCACCATACCTACAGGCTGGGGAACTCCCTTCTTGTCAGCACGGAGGCAGAAAAGGATCTTGGAGTCGTCATTGATGCCAAGATGAACATGGGCCGGCAGTGTGGGGACGCGGTCAGGAAGGCCAACCGCACCTTGTCGTGCATCCACAGATGCATCTCGAGCAGGTCCAAGGAGGTGATCCTCCCCCTCTGTGCGGCACTGGTCAGGCTGCAGCTGGAGTACTGCGTCCAGTTCTGGGTGCCGCACTTCCAGAGGGATGTGGACAACATGGAGAGGGTCCAGAGGAGGCCACTCGCATGGTCAAGGGGCAGCAGGGCAGGCCCTATGGGGAGAGGCGACGGGACCTGAACCTGTTCAGCCTCCACAAGAGAAGGCTGAGGGGGATCTTGTGGCCTGTTACAAACTGGTCAGGGGGGACCAGCAGGCATTGGGGGAGTCCCTGTTCCCCTGAGCACTGCCAGGAGTGACCAGGAATAATGGTCACAAGCTGGCAGAGGGGAGAGTCAGACTAGACATCAGGAGGCGCGACTTCACGGTCAGGGCGGCTAGGATCTGGAACCAACTTCCAAGCGAAGTGGTGCTGGCTCCTACCCTGGGGGTCTTTAAGACAAGGCTAGACAATCACCTTGCTGGGGCTATTTGACCCCCCCCATACTCTTTCCTGCCATGGCAGGGGTCGGACTAGCTGATCTACTCAGGTCCCCTCCGACCCTAGAAATTATGAAACTGTAAGACGGTGATCAGCCCCCCCTCGGTCTCCTCGCCCGCCGAGTCGCCCCCAAGGAGCCCAGCCTGTCCTCAGCACCCGTCTCTCCCCGGCCTTCATCGTTTTGTCACCCTGTGCTGGGCTCCTGCCTCTCTATCCTTTTCACCAGGAGACGTGGTGCTGGCTCCTACCCTGGGGGTCTTTAAGAGGCTGGATGAACACCTCCCCGGGGTCGTGTGACCCCGTACTCTTTCCTGCCATGGCAGGGGGTCGGACTCGATGATCTGCTCAGGTCCCTTCCGACCCGACCAACTATGAAACTATGACTAAATCAGCCCAGTTCCCTCAGCCTCTCCTCACCAGTCCTGTCCCCCAGCCCCACAACCATTTTCGTTGCTCTCCACTGGACTCGCCAACTGTCCACATCCTTTCTGCAGGGGGGGCCCACAGCTGGAGACCAGACTCCAGATGTGGCCTCCCCCGTGCTGAACAGAGGGAAGAATCACTGCCCTCCATCTGCTGGCAACGCTCCTACCAATGCAACCTAGGATGCCAGTCA